GCTAACGACATAGATCATGGAAGCTATTTTGCTTCTATCTAGGCCTCTGGACAAGAACCTCTGAAAACTATAGTCGTACTCTTCTAAAATATTTTTGGAGCAAGACATAGTATCTGAATCAGACTTTTGTTGAGCTTTTTCTAAATCAGTTTTTATTTGAAAATTATTTGCTTTTAGCTCAGCAATTTCTGATTTCATCTGATCAGTCTCAGATGCAAGATAGCTTTTAAGCTTCTTGTATTTGAGTTTGACTTTACTATAGTTTTCAACCATCTTAGATAAGCTTTCAACTAGCTCAGCTCTGGTAAGTTCAGAAAATACCTCTTCTGAATCTGATTCTAATCCAGATTCAGATGTTTCTTCATGGTCTTCTGTGTCAGCCATCAGTGCAACATTTGCACATTCGTCCTCTGACTCTGATGAGGCTTCAGAAGCATCTCAGTCATCCCACGTGGCCATCAGGACTTTCTTCTTTTTCTCAAACTTCTTTCTGAGTTTCTCCTTCTGAAGTTTGGGACATTCACTTTTCTAGTGTCCTGGCTCCTTGCACTCAAAGCACATAACTTATTTCTTGCCAGATCTTTTGTGTCCAGAAGATTCTCCACGTTGTTCTGGTCTTTTGAAGTTTCTGAACTTCTTTTGTTTATACTTCCATAGTTGATTTATCCTTCTGGAAAGTAAATACAGTTTATCTTCATCTGAGGAAGATTCTCCAGAGCTTTCCTCAAGTACCTGAAAAGCTTTATTGTCAGATTTTTTATTTGATTTCAGAGCAATAGACTTACCTTTCTTCTGAGACTCGTCTTCTTCCAGCTCCATCTCATGACTCCTTAAGGAACTGATGAGTTCCTCCAGAGTGATCTTGTTAATATCATTTGATAGTTTCAGCACTGTGACCATGGGTCTCCACTTCTTTGGTAGACTTTTGATGATCTTCTTCACATGATCAGAAGTGGAGTATCCTTTGTCAAGGACCTTCAAACCAGCTGTCAGAATCTGGAATCTTGAAAACATGGTTTCCACAGATTCTTCTTCCTCCATCTTGAAGGCTTCATACTTCTGAATAAGTGCAAGGGCCTTTGTCTCCTTCACCTGAGAGTTTCCTTCATGTGTCATCTTTAATGACTCAAACATTTCAAACGATGTTTCTCTATTTGTGATTTTCTCATACTCAGTATGAGATATAGCGTTTAACATAATGGTTCTAGCTTTGTGATGATTTCTGAAATCTCTCTTCTGTTGGTCAGTCATTGACTTTCTGTCAATCTTTTTGCTCTCACCATCAGTGGGGTGAATGTATCCATCAATGACCAAATCCCATAGATCATCATCGTAGCCTAGAAAGAAACTTTCTATTCTATCCTTCCAATAATCAAATTTTTCTCCATCAAACATGGGAGGCTTTGTGTTGATTCTATCTTTATCATCATATTTGTTGTTTGAAGTTGAAGTTTCAGCCATAATAAATCAAAGATGATAAATCAAGAGTTTTCCCAACTGGATCTTTCTATGTCACTGTTAAATGATAGGACTTCAGAGTCGGAGCTCTAATACCAACTAAAGGTAGGAAAACACTTAGAAGGGGGGGGGGTGTTGAATAAGGGGTTTTCAAAAACAATTATGACAATAGAAAATAACAAGTTATTTTATTCTGGTTCGTTTGAACTCAAACTACTCCAGTCCACCCGGCCAAGGTGATTTCGCCTCTCTCAAACGAGGACTTAATCCACTAAATCAAAACCTGATTACAGTGATATCACTAAGACAAACTGTCTTAGTCTTCTCAAGAATCCTGACCACAACTTGGTCTCTCAAGGAACTTTTACAAAGATAAAATACAATGTGTTTAGGTGCTTCTAAAACGCTATTATCACAACTGTGATTTTTACACAAAATGAAGAACAAATAAAACTTATGTTTGTTAAAGAAAGTTGTTTGAATATGTTCTTTGATTGCTTTATGGAATTCTTCTTTTGAACTTTTTTGGAATTCTTGTTGTCTTTGAAGTGTTGATGGAGACTTCTTTATATACTCCACTTTCTCAAAGTGTGTAGATGAAAGTACTGTAGGATGTAGACATAAAGGACAAATACTTTTCGTCTTGATTTGACATTCCCTTTTTGCCTGAATTCATGTAGCATACACGAATGAGAAATAGTATTGTTGGTAGTGGTTAGCAACCTATCTTTCTTGAACAATATCTTTTCAAATGAACATATATGAAAAATAATCTTGCATCAGATCCTCTGATGTTGTTCCTTGTTCTTCTTTATCAGAGTCAAATAATCTTGCATCAGATCCTCTGATGTTGTTCCTTGTTCTTCTTTATCAGAGTCACTCTATCCAGAGTTTTGCAGCAAAGTGCTTAGCGTGAATGAATGATCAGAGTTGACTTGATTCTCAGAGCCTCTGTACTTGCAGCGTTTAGTTTTTACAGAGTCTTCTGAATATACTGAATTTTTATACTATGCGCTCAGAGTCTTCTGCAGGTAGCGCTTCAGAGTCTTCTGCATATAGCGCTTCTGAGTCTTCTTCAGCAAGCGCTTCAGAGTCTTCTGTGCTGCGCTTTCTACGCTCAGAGCTTTGCGTTAGATAATGTTCAGAGGAATTCTTTTTGTCTTCAGATGAATATTTATTTGATATCTTAAACAAAAACACTTGAACAAAATTAGAGTATATATTTTCTTTATACAAAATTTCATTAATGTTATCATCAAAACATTGAGATATATTAAGAACCAATATGTGTTCTAACAAATGTTGCAACAGCAGACACTCAATGCCTTAGTGCAAGAAATGTTAAAGGGTAATGTGAGTTATGGTACAAGAGATTGGGTCATCTGAACTACAGAAGCTTAGGCATTTGAGTTCAAAGAATTTGGTACATGGAATTCCTAAGATTATGGCACCAGAGAAATCATGTGATTTATGCATGAGAGGAAAGCAACCAAGATTTTCATTCTCATCAATAATGCCTCCAAGAGCAACTCATGTTTTGGGTGTGGTACATTCTGATGTATGTGGTCCATTTAAGGTGCCTTCACTTGGATGGAACAAGTACTTTGTGTCATTTGTGGATGAGTTCACAAGAATGACATGGATAGCACTCATTAAATTCAAACATGAGGTATTTGTTGAGTTCCAAAAGATCAAAGTGAAGGTTGAAAATCAAATTGGACAAAGGTTGAAAATCCTCATAACTAATGGTGGAGGTGAGTTCAAATCAACAGAGTTCAAGAAGTTCTGTGAAGAACATAGTATTGAGCATGAGTTGATTGCTCAATACACTCCACGGTATAATGGTTTTGATGAAAGGAGAAATAGAACTCTGCTTGACACTCCACAGCATATATTAAATCGTGTAGTATCGTATTAACACTTTAATTTAACTTGTACTTTTCAAAATTCATCTTCATTTTTCAAAAGATAAAATCACATATTAAAAATATTTTAGAGATAACTGATACAAATTTTGATAAATACAAAATAAATATATTAACTTAACAATTACGTATTAACTTTAATACATATTATTTTCTTAAAACTTATAGAACATTATTTCTTTTTTTCTTATAATTATATTTTAATTACAAATTTTTTTTTAAAAAAGTAATTTTTAATATAATATTCTAAATAATTTTAGATGATTTCTATTATATATTTTTCAGAAAGTAATCTGAATATAAATAATATATTTTATTTATCATATATAAAGATATAAAATTTGTCAAAATTTATTTATAGTTTGTTAAATTTTATTTTATAATAAGCATAGAGTATAATAAAAAAAAACATAGGTGGTAATGGCTAAAATAAAAACTCTCAAATTTAACTAATATCAACAACAAAATTACATAAATTTTTACAATATCATTAATAATAAATTAAGATAGTTTTTTTTAGAAGAGTAACATAAATAATATATTAACTTAAATATATATTATTTTCATAAAATTTATAAAATGATATTTCTATTTTCTTACCATTATTTTTTAAATATAAAAATAAAAGTAAAGAAATTTTGATGTATGATTTTAGTCTAATGTCTCTCAGATAATTTTTTATTTTTTCTAGTCTACATTCTCTATACTATATCGGACAAATAAATTAAAGACAAGCAATAAATAAAAAATTTTATTTTTCAAATATAAGATATAGAATTTATTGTTTGCTCAATTTTTTTTATAATAATGATCATAGTGATAGTGAGTATAATAAAATGCGAAGATAGTATTTTTGTTTTAAAAAAAAATAACTCGCATATTTCTAATCAATATCAACAAAATCACATAAATATTTTATAATTTCATTAATAACATATTAAAATAATTTTTTTTCTTAAAAAAATTAGTTAACAAAATAATTAACATTTGAAACACTTATTCAACATATAACTAATGTTTGATAATATAGACATAAATTTGAAAAAATTTTGAAAGTTTTAATTGATAATAATTACAAATGAAATTAAAATTTATTCATAACTAAAAATAAGTACATATCATTAACAATTTAAAATTAAATATCTGAAAAAGAGATAACTACTAAAAAAATACATGAAAATCAAAATAAAAATTAATAATAAACCACAAATAATATCTTTTTTGAATTATTTCATTTTTTCAAACTTAAATTCTAAATGTCAATCTAAACTTACACCCATATTTTTATTCTTTCAATATACCTTTATTTGTTATTAATTAATATAGTCTCAATTGTAATTTATAATAAATCATTTAAAATAAAGATATTGACCATATTTATCACAAAAAAAAACCTTATAATTAAAATGCAATTGATAAATAAAAGGTAATTTAAAATAAGTTTTACATGATAAAAGAAACCAAAGGACCTGTACTTCCTTACAATTAATGCTCATAAATTACAGCGGTTAAAGATGGACATTTATAAAGCTTAGCACTTTTGTTCATAAAAATATCTGTGTTGACGGAGAATTGCCTTTTATTCTATAGCCAGTATATTAACATGGGAGCCACGGATCAAACTCTCTTACAGCACGGTTTCACGCTGCAGCACTTCTTTTCTTTAGTTGAGAAATGAATAATATGCTTAGTTATGTGCCTGTGACTTGAAAGGGGTCGTAAAGTTGTCCACGAACAATAGAATGTTTCTGAAGCTTGTGCAGAAAAACTGTTATTGCTAAGGTCTAATAATTGTAAGTTTTTTGCCTTTGCAATAGCAGTTGAAAATTGTGGAGTGAATTGGCACTCAGGAGATGAATTTCTTTGACATGAACTAGCACAGCTGTCGTCAATTCCAGAAGCAGCAGCTTCTAACCTATCTTCACTATCCGCAACTTCCAGCTGATTGGCAAAAGTATCTAGAGAGCATAACACCTCTTGATTATCATCCACTTTCACAGTATCAAGTTTCTGCTCCTGGTTCTGTGAGCAGCTTTTAGCTGATACATCATCACATTGTAGAACACAAAGTTCCGTTGTAACAGAGTTATCAGCAAGATTAAGCTCCTCCAGACTGCTGTTATCTGATAAAATAAAGCAACATAACCGTTGGAATTACAATAGTAGTAGTTTTGAAAAACTAACAACCACATATAGTATTAAGCCAACCTGCAAGAGCCTCAAGTATGTGAAGAACTCCAGCAAGCCCAAGTTGACACTTCCTAAGGACCAAAACTTTGAGACAGCACTGTGGGTTTATGAGAAGCAAAAATAGAGTATTGCAGCCCTGTATTTAATTAAAGAAATTAAAACAAGCCATCGATAATAAAACTTGTTAAACTCAAAATTACCAGAAAAGCAAGCACATATTTACCTAGAGGTTAGATCTATATAAAGTGAAACTAAGGCAGATGACAAAAAAGTTGTTAGAGAAGCCAGATTTTATGAGTATGACTGAGTGTTACAGTTACAGCAATACATAATGACAAATGAAACAAGTCAAGCAATTACACATTACATGTAGGGATGGAAATAGGTTAGGCTGAGTTAGACTTTACAAAGTCCAAGTCTGACATGATGAAAAATGTTGAGGCCCAACTCTGGCATGTTACCAGTCATAAAACTTATTCTCAAACCTGGATCTGATCTTTTTGAAAGTCGAGTATGCCATGTTAACCTACTTATTCTCCTAAGTAAACTAACAAGTTAATAGACAACTGAGATTAAGTTCTATTTTAAGAAATAATAAGACATTTTACAATTTATATAACATTCTACTTTAATTATATTTATAATTGTACATTTAAATATGTAAAAAATTAATATTGGCTAATATACTTAAATTAGCAAAAAGGTTTTAACAGAAAAATCTAATATAATAATAACAGTAATAAAAAATGTTATTCGTATTAACCATGTAGGTTGGTCTGATAAGCCTGTGACTTGAGTGCCCTAAAGCCTACCCTTTTTAGGTAAATAGGCTTCTTAAAAAATCTTAACCTTGTCTATTTTTAAAAAACGGGTTTGGCCTGACCTGTTTAGGCAAGCGGTAGGTTAGGACGAGGTCTTTGTTGGCCTAACATATTTTCACCCCTAATTACAAGAATACCAACAAATTGAAATTCAGTTACAGTGAACAAACCTCGGACATTATGGGATTTCCTTCCAGGTTCAGCTCAAGGATGGAACAAAATGAATTAACATTGATGTTTAAAATATAATCAGATGTTAGCCCACAATATGATAGGTCAAGTTTCACAAGCTCCTCGGTCCCTTTTAGCAATGATTCTGTTACTTTCACGGCCCCTTCCTGCAGAATAATGGATCAATCCATTCAAATAAGGTAAGCATGCTAGAAATAACAATAATGAAGCACTAGAGTTAGCACGTGGTAGGAGCTAGGTTTACTCACGTTTCCAATACCAGTGCCCCCAAGTATTAGTCCTGATAAAGTCAAGGTCCCTCCAAGCTGGCAAAGGCTATCGACAACCGGTTTGCCTAGCTTTAGACCACTCATATTCAACTCCAAAAACCTACAATGAGAACATTTAATTTAAAATTCTATATGCCATTAAATAATACAATTTCTGTAAAGATGATATTTAAGAGATGGATGGTGGCACCAGCATATTGATTATACCTTTTTAAAGTAGAAAGCTTGGATAGAAGATTAACTAAAGCATTCCCAGATACAGGGCTGTTGTGTCCTGTCAAAGGCAAAATACCCATTATGCAAGAAAGATCACTTGTATCAAGGAATTAAAGAGAGCTGTAGATTTATCATACCTATACAAAGGTGTGAAAGTACAGAGGTAGAGTCCAATGCATCAGCAATTTTTTGAATGGTTCTGGATGTGATACAGCAGTTCTCTACATTCAAGCTACAGAGAGCTATACGAAAAGATGCAAGTAAACTAAAGTCAAAAGATACCGACAGCGGGAATCCATATACAATACAACCATATTTGAAAGATCATAAGTGTACCACAGCTTAAATTTGATAAATACATTTTCACAGCTTAAAATGAGAACCATGCATACTAGAAAAGAGTGAAGGGAAGTGATAAAAACCATATTCCTGTTGGCAGAGATTCAACTCATGTGGCTAACCTGTACAGTTTTTTAAAATTGTTGAAAGATAAGATCCACAGGCATCAGTAAGACGGTTTCCAGAAATGTTAAGCACTTCGAGGCGAGCAAATAGCAGAGAGCATTCACAAATCTGACAGAAATACACAACTTTAATATATTGGCAATAGCAAATTAGGGATGGGTCAAATCAAATGGCATCCTAGTCATGCAAAATGAACCAAGTATTATTCTATCATAAATAATTAATTCTTGCATTGATAGAATATTTTTTGTAATAGATTGTGACATGAAAATATTGAAATGCCCTTTGGTGGGAGCAGGAGCTGACATTTCAGTTATTTTAGCTTGATAATTAAATTTCTTTTTAAAAATATTGTAGACAACAAACACAAAAGACAAAAAGGGTTGCATGTGGTATCATACCTGAAACAAAGTTGTTGGGCCAAATCGGTTGCAGTGCAAGTCCAGAGTTAAGTCACCGTAAGATTGACCCGATGTTGTGAACACTTTTCGAAGTTTCTCCATTGTCCCATTTCCTAAAATTTCAATTCAATGGAAGGCAAAAAGGTATTAAAGTATCAAACATATTACTTTATTTTTATTCTTTATATGGTTTTGGCATTCAAGCTACTCTTATTTACCAACAAAAGAACGTATTAAAAGATTTTATAGATGAAATAAATGAGACTTTAGAACCATTAGAGTGATTCCTCTTGAAGAAGGCAAGAAGTGTGACTAGAGAGTAGTGGTTAGTAGAAGATTTGTAAGCAAATAATACAGTAGAATCTACAGGAAAAAGACCACAAATCAGAAAAGTGTACCTAAGCAATTGTGAGAGATATCAAGTAAAGAAAATGCCATTTGGGAATGCAATGCATCTATCAATGGTGTTATAGACAAATCTTGCAGATCACAGTCCGATACAATGATTTCATCATCTGATACCTATTTTCAACAAAGCTAAAATCAGCTGTAAAAAAGTATCAAAATTCAGTGCCTAAAAAACAGAAGGCATACATGTCACTGAAGCAGCATTGGTACCGCTAGGGTCCTTACCTCTAAATTGTAAAGTTTCTTCAGCACCTTGGTCTTTGGTTCCTCACTCAACTCCTTGCAGCGGTCTACATACATTCCTATTAGGCGCTTCTGAATCCACCCTGTAAGGATAAATTTTAAAGGAAAAAATCAAATTATGTTTCTGATAGGGACCCAGAAAAATAAATGTGAATGGGATCAAAGTATGAAGGTTGAATGCCCGATTATTTAGCTAAAGTTAGAATCTACCGAGCAGTTACATAAAAGCACAGGATGAAAGGAGGCATTTGAGAACGGGCATAGGCTCTGTGGTATAAAGATAAACCCTTGGAAGGAAATTTTCAAAATGGGTTCTTTAAATAAAAAAATTTTTGGTTTCCTTATGCTATTCCTCTCTCTCTCTCTCTGAAAACTCAGGTCCTTTACCTAGGTTTCTAACAGTTTAAAAATGAAATAAATACAGCTTCAACACATATGTTCAGCTGTAACTCTGCTGTCATTTACAAAAATTGCAAGATCAATGAATATCGAATGAATAACTTATACCAATAGATAACAACCAAATTCATGTTCAACTAGTTTAAAGATCCAAATGTTTAAGTGTATCACATGTGACAAATTGGTCTTGGAGATAACTTTCCAGACAAAAAACCAGATAAAAAGGAGCATGACAAAAAACAAACATATGTATCACTGATGAACAAACAGCGCAAGTAAGGCATACCATCAATGAAAGCTTCAACCATGTTGTTTTGCAGATGCTCCTTAAGCTTTTCAACACTTTCCAGCAACTCTATATCCCTACCAGCACATTTTATGTGCTGAATAATGGGCAACAAACCTACTCATAAATTTATGTGAGCCACATGTGAACTCAGGCTAGAAGAAAAAATATGCTGAACTGAAGGAAAAGTTCAATGACAGTAAAAGGAATTAACAAATAGAAAGGCTACAAAGTATATGTATCAGAAGATAATATGGAGTTGGTTAAACTGCAGCTTATTTACTGGTGATCTTCAATAGTGATATAATTGATTATGACAGCAAATACATAAACCAGGAACTGCCTACCCTCTGATCTCTTTTCTGTTGGAAATTGTAGATAGTATAGGCATGCAACTGCAGCTTTTAACGAGCCAATGTTGAAATGTTCACCAGCAGCACACAAGGCTGCTTCAACATAAATTATATCATTCCCGATCCGACATGCAATATATTTCTGCAAATTGAGAATATAAAGGAGGCCTGAGATTATCAAAATATCCATTAGCAATATGATGAACATGTCAGTTTGGCAAAAGCGTGAATTTCAAACAAGGGTGTGTTCAAGCTGTAACAGTGGAACTCACATCATCTTGAGAATGATGTGTAATGGGATGGGCAACACCATTTTGTTTGCCAGAGAGAACTGTATCGCATTTAGAACCACTGTGAAACTCAGGTTCAACAGCTAAATCATCGCTCAATGATCTGGAATGTCTGCATGATTTAGCGGCTGCATTTGTACTCCAGCTTTTGAAAGAACTACTACTTTCTTCAACATTAATTGCACATTTGGATGTATTCTCTGAGACAACCTGCCATCTCAAAACACAAATAATTCACAGGCTGATAGTACTAGAGTAAAATTCACAAATGCAAACAGGTGGAGATTTTTTACCTGAATTTTACTAGGATTGATTTTACTCTCAACTGCATTGGTCAAATATAAGTCAGTACTTAATTTTAGTATATATACTTTAGGTTAGAGCAAAGCAACTAACAAGGAAAACATACTGGCATCATTATTGGGCAAGTTCTCTAAAAGGCAGTCATGATCCTTTCTGCTTGAGCATTCCATCTCATCATCATCATCATCATCGGAAAGAATTACACGGACACGTTTACGACCAACAACTGCTTGATGCTTGCTTGCCTGTTTTGTCACACTTTTGGGTGACTGGTCAACCTGCATGGTAGAGTTGGTAGGACTTTCCTTGTGACTTATCTTTCTAGATGAACCTTTAATGGACTGATATAGCAACGTAAGAGGCTTATTATCATCATTCGATTCTTCTCCAGATGTCAGGGTTTCTGATTTACAAGTTTTCTTTGGAAAGCAAAACTCATCAGACCCGCTATTTGACATACAATCATTTTCTTCATTATCAGTTTCAGGACAACAATCTTCGGGCGTACTATTATCTTCTTGATCTTCATTTGACTTCTTCAGCTTATCAATTAGAAGTTTCAGCCTTCTATAAAATACCACAATTGAAAATTAGTAACATCACAGGTACAGAAAAAGGACCAGTGATATTGGAAATGATAAAATGGATTTGGTTTTGCAGGTTACATTTCAGCTTCTGAATGGTAGAATGTTTGAAGAAGACCGTGAGTAGCATAATGAAACTGCAAGAAATGTATTAAAAAAAGATACAGACGTTCAATGAATCAGCTACCTGGTCTCATCCTCATCATCAAATCTGATCATGTTGCTATAATGCATATTTTCCAAGGCAGAAAGTTGTACATCAGGAAGGTTTACTTCAACAGCAATCCTGCAATATAATGTGATCAATCAATGGTTTTCATGCAAGACCATCAAAAGAAGCCCACCAAAGAATATGATTTTTAAGCAACTCTAATCAAGGATGGATCACATAAGTTGTTGGCATTTAAATTTTACTCTTGAATGCACTGTCCATCACATAACACTGGCGCCGGTTTTGCAGTTAATACGGGTTTTTCCCAGCACTTTAAACCCACCAGTTTTCAAAGGCTGACTGGCACAGAACCAGATCTAATTCCCAGTTGAACTGGCTGGTCCAGTCTGGTTTTTAATAGCATTGGTTTGGAGCATGGTGTAGCATTTTCATCAAGCAAGTAACTTCAAAACAACCAACTATATTTTAAAATAGTAACTTCTAAGAATTCATATAGAGACCAATATACGAAGAGTATAACCGGCATGATGAGAATAATCTCATGCTAGCAATTTTTTTCATTATTTTTACAACACAACTGCAGTACCTTTGTGTCTTATATGCAGTGTTATCAAATATCTGCCATGGTCGCGCTATGGCAGATATACATGGCAAGTTTTGGGCTCGCCGCAATGGTAAATATCAGCCGATATTACGGTTTTTCTGCCATAATCCGATATAATGGCCTCAAAGCTGCAGTATGGCACGATCAACAACACTGCTTATATGCAACCAAGTTGCATCAAAAGTTTTTGGGCAGAGCAAATTATAAGGTCAATATATATCTGGCAACCTAGACTTTGAGAATCCATAATTATTGTGTTCCATAAACTTAATCTCTCTAATTTCAAGGAAAAAAACAACCAGTAAAGCTGAATACAATGAATATCATTACCTGTAGCTCTCTTTATATGCATCCAACGCTTCTTTCCAATTGTGAGTAGAATCCAAAACATTACCAATATTAATTTTCACCAGTGCTTGCCCCTATAATCATTACCAGTAAAGCATATGAATCAACTGACCAGCATCTTCATTAAGGACAAAGAGGCAACCTATGAAGAATAAACTTGACAAGCATATACAGAATTTGAAGGGTCACGTCGGGATTTGAAATGCCCGGTCGTGTCAGATACGATATGGATGTTTGATATATATCCGACTGTAGCAAGGAAGACATTCTTAATGTATAATGAGTATGAATAGACTCATGGTCTAGATTTTATAATAAAGCATTATAAAATAAATCCGCCCGCACATACTCGATTTGTGTCAAATGTTTTACTTTATTTGGATTGTTATATAACTAGAAGTAGAGGAAGACCTAGAAAACTATAAGAGAAATTATTAAGAAAGATCTCGGGATTAACAATTTGGATAGAAGCATGGTTCTGGAAAGAACATTATGGCAAAGGTTTGATCCATGTAGCTGAGACCCCACTTAGTGGGGTAAGACTTGGTTGTTGTTGTCGTTGGATCAAACCTTTGCCATAATATTCTATCCAGAACCATGCTTCTATCTAAATTGTTAATCTCAAGATATTTCTTAATAATTTCTCTTATAGTTTTCTAGGTCTTCCTCTACTAGTGGGGTAAGACTTGGTTGTTGATGTTGTTGGATTGCTCTATAACTCATAGAATATGTAAGAATGTATTCTATATATACATGGCTCCTCTTTTGAAGTATCTTGTATTCCGTATAAAAAAACTAAATAGCAATATTGATGCAAGTGATCATACATGTTTTTATATTCAGCTTCATGTTATGTTGAATTGAAGTCAGGAAGAAGAGAATAGACGTATTAAGTTTATATCATAGAATGATGAAAATTTTACCTCTAAGTTACCAATTGTTTTGTACACTTCCCAACTCTTTTTGTACCATTTGATTGCCTTGTTGAATTTTCTGAGCTTCTGGTATGATTCTGCAACATCCAGATATGAATCACCCAGCCTTTGCCTGTCACTAAGGTCATGCGCTACTTTCTTCTTGTCCTTTGCAAACTCACAATACTAGAACACATTGCTCAGTAAGAAACGTCACAATTTAGGAATTACTAAACATTTCATAGCTTCAAAAGGTCTCTGTATTCACCAAATAAGACTTATAGATTATCAAATTATAGTGTGCGCACCAAAACTACACATTTGAGAGCAACGCATGTGCAACTATTCATGCTTTTAAGCAATCATGATGATAATAACCTATTTTTGGTGCTGGAAGGTTCGCAAACTTCAATATGTTACATAATAAACTTTATTTTTCTCTTGATTGTAATTATATGCATCAGCTTCCAATTGAAGAAGTTTCTAAGTTAGAAAAAAAGTTTTAAAACAACATCAATAATTCCATGGTTAATCCATAAGTAACACATTGGTTCTTTAAACCAACATTAGTAGGCTAAACTAAAAAGATTTCTGTTTATGTATGCTGAAAGGGAGTTCTGATATGTTGTCTATAGCTGATAATCGCAGTAATTGCAGCCTCTGATTGTAGCGAATTTGCAATAGCAGTTGTTGTAGGCTTGTGCCTCTAATTGCAGCAAAGTTGCGGCCCTAAACCGCTATCTCAATTGCTATTAGGAGTTAGACAGTGAAATTCCTCAAATCCTTATTTTGAAACCACTATCTTCTTTTAATAATTGTTCTTGATTCTATTATGTTCTTGCTCACAGATAATCATTTTTTTCTTCTTCCTACATTTAGTTCAATTTTGTTATTCTCTTCTTCTTTGTTTAAGTTTTGTACTTTAGGTTCTTTAATTACAATTATGATGGTCTCTTTAGTGTATTTTCCTGTTTTTCTTTTTATTATTTATGTTTACTTTGTAGGAGGATTGATAATCACTGCAATAGCCTGCTACCCACTATACCATTGTACACCCTCTCGTCACTATTATAAGCAAATTTGACTTTTTTGGTACATTTAACAATTAATGTATCTAGTTGATATATGAACTAGATACATTAATTGTCAAATGTACCAAAAAAGTCAATTTTGCTTATAATAGTGACCGGAGGGTGTAGCATTTTAGGGGGTAGGCGCTACGCAATCTATGATTAACAACATATGTTCTAAAAGGTCAAATGAAGAATTTAATAACAGAACCGTGCCAGATAAGCATTTGTCTCCTAAACACAATAATTACAATTGAACACACTCCATAAAACACAGTTCATACCTTGAAAATAATCCTATTTGGGCACCAGAGATGGAGGCACTTGACTGCCTCCAGGAGCCAGGGGCCATACCAGTATTTAGACCACATGGGTAAGACTAGAAAGTGATGCCAGCTTTGACCAAAAACAAAAGATAGTCCTGCCGACTGCTAGTTCTCAGCACTATATTTTACAGTACTTTATATCAAACATTGGGCTCGTCAATTACAGTCCGCATGACTTGAGCTCGACCAACGTGTAAAGTTAGGACAACTCAAATAAATCATTAAATGACAATATAATGGTTCAACTTTACCCAGAGCTATGAGCAGCTGAGGGTTAAAAGAGGGAGAAAAGTTGGGCCCTGCAAACTTGAAAGCCTGGCTTCGCTTTGGAACCACAAGCACAAGTGTCGAAAGTTATGAATTGCCCCATTAACACTTTTACAAAGAAGGTTTTTCATGTAAATAGTCATTATAGGTTGCATGAATATGATACTAGGTTAAAAGAATAGTTGTAGAGACACACAAGATAGAATTGATACCTTCTCCCATGCAGAGATCATCCTGGCTTTCTCAACAAGGCGTTCAAGAGACCCATTTTGCTGTAGCAGACAGTTGCGCTCGTGCAATGTCCCTCTGGCAGAGGCTATACCTCTCTTGAGTTTTTTAAGTTTCTGCTCTTCTCCCTTGATTTCATCCATAACTTTAACAGCTTCTTTAACAATTTCAATATTTTCCTTAATCTGTCTAACCAAAGCATCCTCATCCTCTAAGGACTTTGCCAAAGCAAGTGCCTTCTCATAATAAGACCGCGCTTCTTCATACTTCTGAGTCCTGTAATGCATTTCACCGAGATTAATATACCCTTTGGCTTCCCCTTGACGATGTCCAATTTTGTGACAAATCAAAATATCTCTCTTAATATGCTTGCTAGCTTCACTCCACATCCTCAATTCCATATACACATTCCCAAGGTTATGATGTAACCTAGTACGCCCATCGTCATACTCACTAATCTCCTCTTCGTCACAAATCTCCAATCCTTTAGCGAGTATCTTCTGCGCCTCCTGCAAATTATCAATCTCCATTTCAAGCATTCCTATATTGTTGTAAGCATCAATGTATTCCTTGAGATGTGAAGACTTATTATTAGGCGGATTCTTTTTTAGAGCAACTGCCAGTTCCATCGCGCTCTTGAAATACTTCTTTGCATTGCGAACTGAGTTGTGATCGTGTTCTGATCTTGAAAAAAGTTCGTAGTAAGTTCGACCTAGCTGTGTGCTGGCTCTTTGTTGCTCAACGAGGTCGTTAGCATCCCTAGCAAGCTCTAAATGTTTTCTCTATAATCCAGAAACCAAATTATGTATTAATTAGGGTTTTGCTAATAAATTTACAAAAAAAAAAAACATTGATTAGGGTTTTGGTTTAGTGTGAAGAAAAGAGTACTGACCTGGTAAGTTAGGGCTTCGGTAAAATGCTCCAGACGGAGATAGATCTCGCCGAGGGATTGACAAGTTGTGAGCAATTGATTCTCAGGTAAGTGTTTGCGAGAAATTTCGTAATCAATTCGGATCCATTTGAGGGCTTGAACGTACTCTCCTCTGTTCTTGAGTATGTCGCCGATGACGTTTGCCCAACGCGCTTCTTCACGGTGGTTACCCTCTGCTTTGGCGGTCCGGTAAGAGGATTTGGCCGATTTCAGTTCCGAATCCATTTGGAAACGACAGTGAACAGCGTCGTTGTGGATTCAGTGAAACTCAGTTCCTTTATTGGGTTCGAATTGGGAGAGTAAATGTTGCTAACAGTGTGACTTTTTTGAGGTTTTTTAAATGAAATTCTTTTGTCCCGCCAAAACACGCTATTCTCGCTCTAATTTTTTTTGGGAACTTTTTTTTTAAGTTGCATTTGTTTGCTATTATTACTATATTCTATTTTGAAGATTTTAACTTGTCACCTCTAAATTATATTTGGCATTCTATACTTTTATATTTTAAAAAGTGTCACTAACTGAAAAATGTATCAAATTTTTATTCAAAATTTTCGGTCATGTTATTGAAATTTTCGATACAAATCAAAATTTCTGATAGTTATTCTAAATCCAGTATACCGGAAATTTCATAATTTTTGATAAGTTTCAATAAATTTCAAAAAATTTACATGTTGATACTGAAAGTTTCAACCTAAATAAAATTTTTGGTAATGTTATTTGTTTGATTTTTTGGATGTTCAGGATTTTGCCAACAGTTTTGAATGGTTGTGATTGCACTGATAGTTTTGTGAAGTCCATAGTAAATAAAAAGTTGTATAAATAGATGGTCACATGTTGTTTGATAAACACATCTCAAAAAATGTCTCTTCCTTTATTTTTGATTAAGGCAGAAGTGTACTTCAACAGAGCTTCTCCTCGTGTAGAGTTTCGGCTTCCAGATGGCACCACATCTCTTCCAGCCTGAAGTTGAAGTTAAATGAATGATTGTCTGATGCTGAAAACAGAAAGGTGAGAAAGATTGAGTTTGGTGAAGATTGGATTGATACTGACAGGAGGATGAAATACAACCTTATTGAGTTGAAGACCGACGAAGATGTGAAGGAAATATGGAGATCATTTATCATAGGATAACAAAGGGGCCGATCGAGTTAGATGTTAAGCTTTCAAGATCTATTGACGACATAATGGAGATGTTGAAATATGCAGAATCGTCTGGTAGTTTAGATTTTTCTTATTTATTAATCATCTGATATTGTTAAGTTTTCTCTTAAGTTATGTTTAATTTATTTTTAAGTTATGTACTCTATTGTCAGATGTTAGTTAATGTTGACGTTGAAATTTATGGAAGATCAAAAATATTAGCAAATAAAGAGTTAGGGTAAAGATGTGTGAATAATATACAAATGACACAAATAATACATAATAGACCAAATCCATGATATACAAAAGATGTCTAAATAAGCCCCCACAAGCTATGTGTGCAGCCCGAGATAATCAAGTATAAACCTCGTCATCTGGGTTTACCAAACCCACGAGGTTATCCATTATAACTGCAATTATCTGGAGGCGCTGCTAGTCATCGACATATTCTGCTGGAGGAGGAGGCGGCGGCACCTTATCAATAGGTATCCCGACATCAGAAGCCCTAACATCAGTTGTAGGTGGGGTGATGTGAGGGTGTGATACAATGAGGTATCACTCTAAGTAACCATCCTCACATTGCGATGGGTGATGAACGGTGACTGCTCGATCTCTAATGACACAAACAAAACTGATGAAGTTACTCTGAAACCACTAATTAATACCTGAAGATGGTATGTCTGAAACTGGTCGTGAGATACTCTCAAGATAACAAAACTGTCACAGACACCTCTTAGACAAGTGTTTAGCAACCATGGTCGCCCACCGTATATAACCTGAATATAAAGATGACTCATCGAACTCACGGTGGACTTTATGATCAGTGTATGGTGTCCATATGACATCATCTACGGTCAACACATCGAGCCTCCTTTTATACTCAGCAACACCACGGGGATGTGCCTGTCTGGCCTTCCATCTCTTCGTCCGTGGGGACCCCACCTCACAATGTTGCACCCTTTTGTCTCAGATGGTGGGGAAATGCTCGTATATCCAACACTGATATCAAAATAGAGAAATGCGTTGTTCGTAACAAATAATTTCAAGCATACATGTAATAAACTCAAATAGCCAGCAAGTTGTTTGGTCTCAAAGATCGTCGCATGTTCAAATCGTAGTTAAAGGGGGGGTTGTTATCGTCTTCGCAGGGATTGCAGATATTTTGACGCTTGTTGTTCAACAGTTTACAGTTTCAAGAAAAATGGTTTCAAAGTTTTGTTCATAAAATTGTCACGTTTTTAGTAGCAAAGCTTATAAATTTTAAAGAGTTTGATTAACAAAGTATATCAAAAGTAGTTTTCATTTATCCTAACTTGTACGTATTCTTTCAATCTTGCATGTGAAGTCGGGTCTGATTAATATCGTCGTATATTCTCTCAACATTATCTATCTCTAGAGTGGCATCGTGAGAAATACCATGTTCATCAATACATGATTTCTCCATATAACAACCAATATAGTAAAGCTTTAAGTTCAACACAAAGCAACTATCAACCATATACCGATTTCCCCAATCTATAAATCGATAAATGAATATTTTAGGCCAAGTTTCACAAAATTTATGTCTAGAGTTTTACAAAATAAGAATGGATCATTAAGAACAAAAATATTCATCATATATTAATCATCACTTGTTCACATATAAAGTCAATCAAAAGAAATATATACAAGCTAATGGTAGACTACCTCTACCTTTGATACAAGAGAAATTAGCTACTCATAACCATGGTAGCTTGCTTTACAAGTAATAGAAGAAGATGAATGAGCATCCACGTCGAAGAATCGAATTCAAATGTGAATCTAGCTTCTATTTGCAAAATATCACCTTTTGGTGAAGAAATGATGAGAAATCAAGTTTTGGCGTGAAAAATGGGGGATTATGATCCCAAAAAGTGTGAAAAGTACTTGTATAGTACTTTTGGAATCTGTCAAGTTTGCCCAGTGAACTCCTTTTTCACTCAGCGAACACACTTTTAGGCACCTGAAGTGCCTCTGAATAGTTAAATCGCCCCTGAGAAATATCTGAAATTCGTTGTGCGAGCAATTTTTTGTCCTACGAACTACCTCGCTACAAGTTCGCACAACGAACTTATGGTCCTTTAGTTAATGTCTCAAATCTGGGATGGTTCGCTGGTCCTTCATTGAGACCTCGCCATAGCGAACATTCGCTACCAGTTCACCCAGCGAACTTAGTGCCCTTTTCTTACTGCCTCTAAATTAAGAGGGTTCGCTAGGGCTTTGCCATTAATTCGCCCAGCCAATATTCGCTGCTACTCCTTGTTGGTTATTCGCCCAGCGAACATGATGAATCTTTTCTTTTTCTTTGGTTTCCTTGTTCAATTACGTGTGTCTTACACTTTGATATTTTTATGCCTAATTTCTTCATAATAACACATAAATCAAAGCAACCAGATGTACTTTCAACAATATTGAAGAATAACATGATATCATGGAGTAAATCCAACAAGACATAATAAAAGAGTTGAAAAATACCAATAAATAAGGATCAATTTAAAACAAGTTTGGCATTCAACAAACTCTCTCTAACTAGATCTTTGCTTGTCCTCAAGCAAAGTATGTCTCTCATTGAAAACAAAAGGGTTTGCTCGAGCATTTAATTCCACCAAGAATGGATTTATGGCTCAAATAAACAAACAAACGCACACAAGAAATGTTCACCACTTCTTAGAATCGAACAATGCAAAATAATTTAGTTCTTAAATAAATATTATGCAATGCTTCAAATAAAAACTAAATTCTCATGCTTAAATCACTCTGACATTTCTCTTCGAATAAGAAATGAAGAAATTAATGTGTTTGCAACCACGAAGCAATTTCACTCACCTGACAAATGATGCAAATACAATCTAATGCATACATTCATCTAATCAATCATTAAATAATTCATGGAAGCAAGAAGATCACTAAGGTCTTTAAAGGTTGTAGCTTTGTTAGATTCACAATAAAGGGACACTTATAAGGCCATAGATTCAAAGTTGTCAATGCAAAAGAAACATTCACTATACAAGACTATGTACACACTACAACTTTATCCAACACTTTATTTTCTCAACTAATCACCCTTTCAACACCTTTATGCACATTATTCATTTTTTTTCTCATTCAAACAAGCATGCATTTTCTTTTTCTTTTTCATTATTCATATTCACAGTTTTCTTTTCAATGCTTGTTTGAATTTTTTTCAAATTTTTTTAGTAACCTACCACTTTCTTTTCACTATCCACAACTTGATTCAACCAAACCTTAAGTGAATGTTTCTTAATTTTTATGGCAAGGAAGACAATTTAGAACAATTTCAAAGGTTCAAGAAAAAAATTTAGAATCCTACACAACTCAATGATGAACTAACTTTCAAATTATGTACAAATATCAAGTTCATCACTAAACTTGGATCTAAAATATTAAGCTCAAAGTTTCATACTACTTATGGATAAGTTACTTTTTGGAATATGGTTGTGCTCATTATCAACAAATGTCTTGATCATATCTAATGCTTCCACAAAATTAAAATAATCACAAGATTAAGCATGAACCAAATGTATTCAACAAGATTTATCAGTCATCCTATGCATTTAGTAAACAATGAAGGTTTTTCACAAATTTGTGGTTATTGGAACCTAAGTGATACAAGCATTCAAATAAAGTTGTAAAATGAAACAAAATTACATTTGCACAAAGACAAAAAAAAATCTTAAACATTCTAGCATCCTAGAAAGAGGTAACCGTGTACTTTGCCAACATTTACATGATCAAATACTATCATCACCATCCAAACTTGGGAGAATCTTTATTAGATACTTTTAGAAAATATAAATCAATCTATAAGTTCTCACATTTAATCACTAAAAAGGGAAGCATTAAATTCAAAGCAAGCAAACTACCAACAAACCAAAAAAAACTACTAGAGTTAAACATTCCTAAACTGAAGAATTCAACTCTTAAACAACATAAGAAAAGAAAATGAAAGTAAATAAAACAAAAGTTGAACATTCGTGAACTGAAGAATTCAACTGAAAATAACATTAAAATGTTATGGTGTAAAAACACCAACAAAAGTACTAGTA